ACTCGCATGGCTCGCATCGTGACTCGCATGACTCGCTGGCTCGCATATTAGTAACACTCAACACAACCGACTGGAAGAAATTACGCCGTTAGTTACTGGCGTAAAATCGTACATATAAACATAACCGACTGGAAGAAATTACGCCGTTAGTTACTGGCGTAAAATCGTACATATAAACACAACCGACTGGAAGAAATTACGCCGTTAGTTACTGGCGTAAATCTTCCATATTACTGGCGTAAAATCTTCCATTTAAGACAACCGACTGGAAGAAATTACGCCGTTTGCGGCTGGCGTGAAAAATTACTTAGCGGGAAGGTATATCAATTTTTTTTTCTATGTTTTAGCGAGGCCACCATAGTAAGAGGTGCGACAAATTTTTAATTAAGCTTGACAAGGGACAAGGTATGGACAGCTTCTACGGGTATTTCGTTTGTTACAACTTTCTTACTGTAGAGTCGTAGATGTGCTTCTACCATAAACTTTAAAAAAATGATTACAGTTTACTTTGAATTCGAATGCCTTGTATTGCTTTTTTTGTGTGTGTGTGTGTGTGTGCGTGTGTTAGGATGTGTTATCGTTCCAGTTCGCATTTTCAAGACCAGTCATTACCCACGTTATCCCCTGCTATTTGGATTTAGGCAGAATGCATTATGACACATTTCACATTCAAAAAACTCTTTATTTCGAAATTTTTAGATTTCGGACAGTGCCGTGGAAGTGGTAGTGAACAGCACCCACGTCACTGATAATAAACCACCAACCACAAGATAGAGGAATGTGAAACGCAACAATGGCTATCAAACCGCGTTTCCGGAGTTTCTTGAGGTGCTAAAAAAGGTCTTGCGCACTTCAGTCGTTCCTCTTTGTATCTCACAGTTCTGAGAGTATTCTCAACGTGAGCTTTTCTGCTGGAAAACATTACTCGCTTCGTATTTTGAGCAATACAGCATCTTTGTTCGGCAAGTTTGCAGACAAACGGATTTCACTTTTTTTGTGCCCTTTCAATATTGTGAAGGACCGCTTCAACTACTATCCAGAACGTAGTTTCCGTCGAAATATCTTGGATACCAGCTATTGGTAAGTGTATCTCATTGAGTGTCTCCTTTTAACTTCAGATTAGCGCCATTTAGTTACGAGTCCTTGAAAAATAATAGCAACTATTCTTAGATGACTACCTCTTCAAAGCACCCCGATATACAAACGAAATGGTGAGGTTCTCTGAATTTTACCCCGCTCCAAAAATCAAAAAAAATTTACATTCACATCGTTCTCCTCCCAAACGTTACTTCCGATGGTTTCCACTGTGAGGGGAACATTATTTTCCCATATGCAAAAAAAGAAAAAAAGAACTCTCTTGCTTTTTGGAAAAGTGCCATTGTCAAAGTGATCCGTCGGACTTCGTTATGGGCGGTCGGAAAATTCGCTGTAACTAATTTGACGAATCTGCCATATAAAGGAAACCCAAAAAAACCAATTACCACAAGAAGTGCTCCTCAGAAATCTCTTCCCATGCGAGTAATTCACACGAGAAACTTTTTTTATTCTATCCAATTTTTTTATTCCGAACTTCATGTG